ATATACATCATATACATCATATACATCATATACATCATATACATCATATACATCATATACATCACATACATCATATAAATTATATACATCATATACATCGTACACATCATATACATCATATAAATCATATATACCATATACATCATATACATCATATACATCACATAAATCATATACATCACCTACTTCATATACATCACATGAATCGTTTACATCATATACATCATATGAATCGTATACATCATATACATTTGCAGTGCTTTAACATTGACATGGAAAAGCCGAATTTCTTATACATAATATAATTATTAATTATATACATACACCTACATTAAATACATCTACATTATATAGATCTACATAATTCATCACGCAGAGTGCTAACATTGGCATAGAAAAAGGCCAACTTCCTCTACATATGCATAACAGAGTGTTAACATTAATTACTGAAATTGCATTTACATAAACGCGAACGTCACGAAATAATTAACACAGTTGAATTATGGGTTATAAATTGATATGAGCTAACTAAATGCAGCTCGTTTAAACGGATTGGGCCAAGTTTGACTTAACTCAGAGATTGCTTATATAAGATAGAAAAATGTAAATAAATTCAAATTGGCTTCAGCTGTGCCTTAGTTATTTATTAAATGGATCCATATTTAATTTTCATTGACTGCAGTTTCATATATCAAATATGGCTAGAGTATCTCAGCTTCGATTTGCCAGCGAATCAATTCCGATATCCGACTAATTAAAATTAATGGCAGTGCTAGACACTCGAAGCGAATCTTCGTTATGAGCGAATGGACCGTGACGTGCTCTGCGAGAATATGGGATTGACATTTCAAATTATGGTTCCATTTAAGATGGGTCGACTAACTACGTTTGCCCATTCCGAGTCCATTCGATTTAAAAGTCGATAAATACATTTCGTTTTGAAATTTTATTATTCACAAAAAGGAGAAGGAACATAGGCGAGAGGGAGACAAATATGGAGTAAGCTAGAGAGCTTAGTAAACATAGCCGCCGTTGGAGCCGTATTGTGTGCCATAGCTGGCGGAGCCACTTGAAGAGGCAGCCTGAGCCGTGTATGTGGCTACGTTGGATTCCTCAATGCCATTGGACGCGGGCTCCTGGTACAGATGGGCAGGTGTGACGGTGTTGGCACCAATAGCAATTGGAGCCTTCGGCACGCCGTAGGTAACGTGGGCAACGCGATCGGCCTGAGGAATGAACTGTTCCGGAGTATAAGTATTGGCACCAATGTTGAACGACTGTGTCTCCACAGAGCCTGAGACTGATCCCAGGTTCTGAGGGATCAGATGTGCTGGCTGGTAGCTGCTGGGATCACTACCGGGCAGGACTGCTGGGGCCGATGAGCTGCTGGTGTCCACATTGACAACGACCTCTCCGGTAGCTGCTTGCTGATTCTGGGGAATCAAATGAGCTGGCTGGTAGCTGCTGGTATCGGCACCGACAATCACTTGAGATTGCTGATTCTGAGTAATCAAATGGGCTGGTGTGTAGCTGCTGGTATCGGCACCGACAATGACTTGAGATTGCTGATCCTGGGAGATCAGATGAGCAGGCTGGTAGCTGCTGGTATCGGCACCGACAATTACTTGAGCTTGCTGATTCTGAGGAATCAAATGAGCTGGCTGGTAGCTGCTGGGATCACCACCGGGTAGCACTGCTGGGGCCGATGAGCTGCTGGTGTCCACATTGACAACTACCTGTCCGGTAGCTGCTTGCTGATTCTGAGTAAGCAAATGAGCTGGTGTGTAGCTGCTGGTATCGGCACCGACAATGAGCTGTGCGGCAGCTCCTTGCTGATTCTGAGGATTCAAATGAATTGGTGTGTAGCTGCTGGAATCACTACCGGGCAGCACTGCTGGGGCCGATGAGCTACCGCTGCCGCTGACGCCTGCACCGACAACGACTTGAGAAGTGGTTGCCTGCTGATTCTGCGAAATCAAATGAGCAGGGGTGTAGCTGCTTGAATCACTACCGGGCAGCACTGCTGGGGCCGACGAGGATGAGGATGCAGATGAGGATGCCGATGCGGATGCGGAGGAGCCGCCATAAGCATAGCCAGAACCTTGTCCCACATTGAGCAGGTGACTGACATCGGCGGCCACCAGGCCGACCAGAGCCAAAGCGATAACGCAGAATTTCTGCGATAGACAAGAAAACCGAAATTGAGTATCAAAGTGTTATCGATTCGAGCACTTCACTCGATAAGTGTTTTGTTCTTAGAACTTACCATGTTTAGGGTCTGTAGGCTGAGTTGATCTGTTGTTGGTGGCATCGAGGTATCAAGTTTTTATACGAAAAACTATCGAATGGAACACAATAATGGGTTGCTCTATGCTAATTAACGGTTTATGTCTTACTCGTCTCTATTGTTTTTATAGAAACTCACAAATTAATATACATATATGTGCACAAATATATACATATATATATATATTTAAATAAATTCTCAAAGTCCAAAAACAAATTCCCAAGTAGAAAAGGCGGCAGAGAATCGACTATCAATAGGTATCTCCAAGACGTTGACAAAACGACATCCGTACAAAATATTGATTAGAACGTCTACGACATTTGAACGGCCTCCACTAATTATGATCGCATCTCTCGCCGCACCTTTCCTCACATCAAATATAACTTCAAAAACACAAATTAGCGCAAACTATTTCATTAATATATAATTTTCATTATCTAATGTCGCTTTTTTTTTTTTTTTTTTTTTTGGGTTCTATAAGCGGCTTTGGGTCGGAAACCAGTTTTCACACAGCAGCCTCCAGTAGTTGGCAACCTGTACACTTGAGCCCAAATCCGTCGACTTCACAGAGCAATAACTGTCTTTAGAAACCCAATTATCGCATCTTGAATGGCATTCAATCAATAACTCTGTCAAAAAGAACATCACTGAAGCTTGTTTGCTCTTCATCGTACTAAGTATACCCAGTGAAGTCGTTTGATCTGTATCAGAAGTTCACATCTTCGATATTTGAATGCATTTATATTCTATTTGTCGTCTCTGAGTCTGCTCTGGGAGTTCAGTTCTATTGTTTGTCTATCATGCGAAGATCGACGAGCCGCAGATAAACAAAATACGAGTTTGTATTGATATGGAAATAAAACTATGCTCTTATTATTTTATTATTTGTTTTTTTGTTAGACTAACAAATTTGTCTTTAAGTTTTTAGATTGATTTTTTATTATTATTTTAATTTAGTTTAGTGCTTTTTAGTTGATTTCTGTCATAAATAAAAATATTTTAGTGATTTATTAATAATATTTATTTCATAATTTGTTTTTATTTTCTATATTCTATTATATTACATAATTTTATGATTCCTATTTTAAATTTTATTTGTTTTGATTTAAAAAAAAAAAAAAAAAAAAAAAAAATGTTTTCGACAATAATAATTTCCTTATAAAATTCTCAAAGCTTATTTTGAAAATAAATTCAAAAATCAAAAGCATAAAATTTGATACAGGTCGTTACAAATATTTGTCTATGAATATCAAACCAAATATGTAATAGATTTACATATGATTGTATTAACGGTTGGGCCAATCATTTGCATATTCACAGGGTATATACTAGTCAAGCTCGTTTGTTAATGGCATTCGTGCTATATATGTTTTCTTAGCACATTAGCATTCTAATCATCCTGTTCTGTTTCTATATAGAACTGGTTGATTGGCAATTAAAATATAGTTTTACTTTTCGTTTCTGGCAACTTAACAGATTAACTAGTTTTTATTGTTATATAATGGATGACAGAGGCGAAGAGTGAGAGCATCAATTTTCGTATATGACTGAACATTTATAGAGCAGAGTTGTAACTTAGGGCTATACCATTTAATTAGCAATAAATTAGTAAAACTTTTACTTTCCTTTGCTCTTTCAAGAAGTGAGTGAGAAGTGAATATGATTTGAAGGCGTGGCAGAATGGGATTTAAGGCAATCATTTTGAGCCGGGAGTGAGTTTTATGACTGCATAATACGCTCTCACAGTTCAAGTTCGTGCGCGACATAAAAGTTTCGGATATTTGTTGTTTGTTAAAAAAAAGTCTAGAAACTGCTAGAATTGGTTCTATTGATATTCATTTCATCTCATTTGATATTCATAACTATTCAAGATTTGCAGATCGAGATAAGCAAAAATCAGGATTTGATGCCAAGAGCTTAGTGGGAATAATGATCATTATGAATGTGAAACTATCATTAGTATGTTTGCCTGTTCGCATCTTTCTTTCCTACGGCCCGGCTAATAAGATTTAGTTAATATGAGACATTATGTGATTCCGTCTGTCGACTGCATGAATATTTATTATACTTGGCGTGATGGCGCGGCCCAACTTGTTTTCAGACCGCAAACTTACACAAAAATGCAAATCGTACGCGTCAATCTTGTCCCATGCTCATATGTATTTATGGGCGTCCACAAATGCCAAACAATGAGTTTCATTCAGCTGGACCAGCTCTGGGCCCATTAGATGGACCAGGGATTGACTCATGATTCTATCGCAGCTGTCACAGCTATCGCATAATTATGAAACCTGAAATCCGATGAACTCTGTCGAACGGGTTTCGATTCATCATCATCGACTCTAGGCATATGGTTATATGAACTATGTTCTCTGTAAAATATTCATATATTAGCTAACGAGCCTGTAGACAAACCCGAAACTTTTTTTTATTTATTCTTATTTTGCTAATTTTGTTGTGGGTATTTTTCTTTTTTTTACTAATTTTTGTATATTTTATGATCAGTTTAATATTTTTGATTCTCTATGGAAGAGACTTACATTCCTTTGTTTCTATCCATAATAACAGACAGCGCCTTAAAAAAACAGGTTCTTTTGAATATAAACAGACCCTTAAATAAATCCCTCAGACAGCATAAATATAGAATAGATATAATAATCCAATAACATAGAAACCGTTCATATGTGAACAAAAGTTCCATGGTATACCATTATCGATGTGTCTAGAAACTACATGTATAATTATACATTTATTTAAATATATACATTTTTTTTTATTATATTCAAGCTCCAAATGTCTGTCCAATGCACAGTTCAGTATGGGTGCTGGATAACATTCGTACCGCTTTGCGATTTCGAAAATACGATCCTAATCAGATAGGAATATATGCCTATACTATTATGTGGATTGTATTTCATTTTGAAGATAATAGGGTGCGGCAACCAAGATATTATGCTTACAAAATCAAACTTATGTCAATAATATCAGTAAGGAATATACATAAAAATCTATTCTATACCCATAAAATTTTGATTGTAGCTTTCGAGTTATGTTAAATCGAGATCTACAAAGATAGCCATCTGTCCATCCATCTATCTATCTGGGTAGCTTGACGATTAGATGGATATCTCTGTTGGTATATATATACTTCATATAGAGTGATAGATAGATATATAGATAGATAGGTAGATATATTGGTACAACCTAGAGTGATAGGTAAACAAAGATATAGATAGGCAATATATAGATGGTCCACAGATACATTGATAGATGAGCATGGCCCATGCAATCTGAGTTCTGATCGATAAACTGTATACTATGAGGGGTCGGCCATACTTCCAACAATTGCCAATGCACGAATAGCTCAGTTGAACCAGAACCAGTAGTTGTTCCATGGGGCGCAACTCTATTTCTCTCTCTCTCTTTCTCTCTCACTCTCTCTCTCTCTCTCTCTCTCTATCCTTATCTATATCTATTACTTTCTAACTCTACCCATTTAGGTATCCAAAAATACAAAACATGCACAATTATATCTGCAAATGAATTAATTTTGTTTATTTCTGAGTCAAATAAATGTGCATTTTTTTGATATGCCATGTTCTATCTGATTTCGTAGAGCTCATATCGTAAATAAAGACGGAAACTTGTTGGCTTTTGGCGACAAGTGTCAACAGTTGACTTGATTAAGCTGGACTCAACATAGCTAAGTAGTTTTTGTGTGTTGTCAAAGTTGTTGCTGCGTCTTCTGGTACGGCCAGCTTGATTTAGTATAAGAGCTGGCATGATATAGTAGCTGGCTGGCTGGGGAGGAGACAAGGGTATCTGGTGATCGACATGTGGCATATAAATCCGTGCGTTTATCTATGATCAAAGCGCAAGCATTGATCGGGCGGGACTTACTTGAGGTGGCCGAGACAACTGGTAGCCGGCTCTCAGTGTTGGCTGTGTCAGGCGGCACTTGGCCAAAATTTACCCACTTGCCGGCTTTGTTTGTCTCTGGCAAACGCAGCCAAACACTGAGGTCAAAGCAAAACATACGCTAAACGTCGCCGTAAAACAATTGCGGAACAGTCCGCGCATTATTTGTGGCCCCCGGCAATGAGCCGACTTCAGTTGAGCTCAGCTTAGCTGAGTCAATTGTAAAATTGCATTCCGAGACAGCGCTGACAAACAGACGGAGAGGCGGGCGGGCAGATACACATTGTACTCACTGTATCACACACTCCAAGCACATGCCGTATGACAAACGGCTCTTAGCAAGTGTCAAGAAAAACAAACACATCAACAAGACGCCAGTGTGTGCATATTTATTTGCGACACTCTTGGTAGGCGATAAATGCTGAATATTTGCTTACTCTATGGTGTGTAACAGGGACATTATTATTACATTAAATAGTCGGCGAAAGAGATGAGAAAAGTGTTGCAAAATTGAGTTCACATTCAAGGATATAATATCAGATAATAATATTGGATATATGTGTATCGATGGCTGAGCAAGGTGATGGAAAATCTGGGATTCTGTCTGTTGATCTTCTAGAAAGTTCTTCTAAGGATATAAGGGGGGGGGGTGGTGTGTGTGTGTGTGGAGAGAAAGAGGGAGGGCCAGTTACGTCAAGTGATTTGACGTGCTTCTTCGACAAGTGCCACATTTGTCATGAGATTCGCAAAGAGAGGCGCGTTATTTAACTTCTTTTTTGCATTTTTTTTTCTCAAAACAAAGCAGCAAATATATGTCGCCATCTCTGTCTCTGTCTCTGTGTAAGATGCAACCCCCTCACGCCCGTCCTGCCACCGAGGTGAGTGGCATTGCTAGTGGCCTAAACAGCAGTTACCAGCCATTTAGCTGCAGTTGCTGCTGCTGCTGCTGCTGCTGCTGCTACTGCTTCAGCTGCTGTTCGACGCCTAATTCAATGGGCAAACATTGAAACTGAAAGTTGGTCGACGCTTTGCGGTTTGGAAGGCGAGGCAGTGGATTTTATTTAATTAATTAATGCTAAAAACTGTTTGAGCATTGGCCAATACACATCTTTGCATATATATGTATAACTATAGCTATATATATATGTATCTGAATTGCTTGATGAATCTGTAGCTAAAACTGTCTGTGTCTGCTTCATCTGTGAGGCGT